CTTTCTTTCTTTCTTTCTTTCTTTCTTTCTTTCTTTCTTTCTTTCTTTCTTTCTTTCTTTCTTTCTTTCTTTCTTTCTTTCTTTGTGTGTGCACATGTGATAAGGGTGCATCCATGCACAGTGCAAATGTGGAGGTCAGAGGACAACCTCAGATTTGGGGGCTTAGGTGCCTTCCATCTTTTGTTTGAGACAAGGTTTCTTATTGGCCTAGGACTTTACCATGTGGCCTGCAAGCTTCCTTGAATCCCTTGTCTTCACCTTCCATCTGGCTGTCTCTGGAGTTAGTCATGTGTCACTGTAATTGACTTCTTATGAGACAGTTCTGGGGCTTCAAACTCAGATCCATATGCTTGAGAGGCAAGTGCTTTACATGTTGAGCCATCTCGCAGTCTTCCCTTCCTCTTCTTTAGAATATGAATTCTAAACCATGCTGTAGACTCCTTGCAAGAAGTGCTTCTGTTGGAATCAGGCCATGTATCAGATAGATGTATGTACACTGGCCCTCATGGATGGGACCAAGTGCCTGGTGGCTTCTGAAATAATAGTTGGCATCTATCTATGTTCTCAAAGCAGCATTAGAAGATTATTGCATTTAAATATTAATTGTCTCTAGTATGCTAACTATGTTTTGAAGTTTTGCTTTCTCTTTCTGACTTGCTATTTACCGAACATTAGACATTCTTTTATATTTATGTCTTCCTTCAACAGCTTAATGCTTTGGGGAGTTAGCAGAAATGGAAGAATGAGTCTTTGTCAAATGTACATAGTAGCAAATATTTCTATGATCAGTGAAATTGCTTCTTTGAATTGAGTGCTTACTATGGTGAAACATTGGTTCTTGTTTTTTTTTTTTAATGTTAGGAAAATACTCAATCTCTAGGAGATGATCAGGTACTGTACTGTTTGAATAAGAAGATGGTAATGAATTGATTTTTTTATACCATCAGTACTGATTTAAATGCGTTTTCTAATTCAGAACAAAAATGTTACCTTGCCTTTTTCCAGATTGAAAGAATCGACCAGCTTTTTCTTGCTGGAGGACTCCGTCATCTCATGTTTTACTATCAGGATGTCGAGGGAGCAGAAGCAGGTATTGATATTTGACATGACATAGCCTAGAAATGTCATTAAATTCATCTGAGAGTAGGAAAAAGAAGAAAGGTAACAGCGGACTAAACAAGTTTCTTATGCCTTGGTGTATTAGGGCTGTGTTGTGTATATGTTGTGTACTATTTTTGTGGTGTGCATGTGTAGTACATGTGTGTTGTATGTGTGTATATGATATCCTTGTGTTACATATATATGATGCATATATATGTGTGTAATGTTTTTGTGGTGTGTATGTGTGGTATGTGTGTGATGTCCTTGAGGTATTTAGGTATTTATGTATGGTGTGTGTGTGTATATGTGATATATATGTATGTATGTATATATATATATATATATATATGTGTGTGTGTGTGTGTGTGATAGACCTGTAGTATGTATGTATGGTGTGTATACAGTGTATGTGTGTCCCTGTGGAAGGGTGTCTGTTTTCTTCTTCAGGTTAGAGGATGGAGAATGTTAGCCTAGGTGTTCTAATTGTTTCCTTTTCCTTTTGATTTGTCATGCCAGCAATCGGGGGACAATCAGGCAGATTTTGTTTTGATACTTACTTTTCTTATGTGTCAGTTCCTTCTGTGTAACCATAGTCTAAAACTTCCGGCAGGCATTGGATTTTTAACACAGGAATTCTTGTCGATAAGCATAGCATTAACTTCCTTCAGTTAAATATCACATTATGTTTATCTTCTGCTGGTTTTGATGGAAATGTGTAATGCTGAATGATGATTTAATAATTGCACTTAAGAAAACATTATATGTCTTTGTATGAATTCAACTGCCTATATCCCATTTTGCTTTGTAAAAATTAATTAATTAATCAATCAATTTTACATCCCAGCTGCAGTTTTACCTCTTTCCTCTCCTTCCAGTCCCTCCCCCAACTCCATCCTCTGTTCCCATGCCCCCAATCCACTTCTCCTCCTTTTCTATTTAGGAAAAGGCAGGTCTCTCAGAGTATCAACAAAACACGGCATATCAAGTTGTAGTAAGACAAAGTACCTCTCATGTATTAAAACTGGGCAAGGTGGCCCAGTGTGAGGAGTAGGGTCTCAAAAACCTGTATAAGGGTTTGAGGCAGGCCCTTTTTCCACTGTTAGGAGTCCCCTGAGGGGAGTAAGTTACACAACTGTAACATATATGCAGAATGCCTAGGTCAGTCCCATGCGGCTTCCCTGGTTGTCAGTTCAGTCTCTGTGAGCCCCAGTGAGCCCAGGTTAGTTGATTCTGTGGTTTTCTTGTGATGTCCTTGACCTCTCTGATTCCTACAATCCTCTCTTCCCTTCTTCTGTAGGATCCCCAAACTCTGCCTAAAGTTTGACTGTGGGTCTGCCTCTGTTTCCATTAGTTGTTGGATGGCACCTCTCTGATGACCATTGGGCTTGGCACCAATCTGGTCACAGGAGATGGCCACTTCAGACTACATTATCTACTATTGCTAGGAGTCTTAGCTGGGGTCATCCTTGTAGATTCCTGGGCTATTTCCTTACCCTGAAATGCACCCTTCTTGTTACCTAGTCTCTCTGGGTCTGTGGAATGTGGCATAGTTATCCTTTATTTTACAACTAATATCCACTTATGAACTTTCCTCTTAGCACTGCTTTCATTGTGTCCCATAAGTTTGGGTATGCTGTATTTTAATTTTCATTGAATTCCAGGAAGTCTGTAACATCTTATTTCTTCTTTGACCCAATGGTAACTCAGTAAAGAATTGTTCAGTTTCTATGAGTCTGTAGGTTTTCTGTTGTTGTTGAAACCCAACTTTAATCCATGGTGGTCTGATAAGATACAGGGAGTAATTTTCTTTTCTTTTTCTTTTTTTTTGTATCTGTTGTTGAAACTTGCTTTGTGGCTGAGTATGTGGTCAATTTTGGAGAATGCTCCATGTGGTACTGAGAAGAAGGTATATTCTTTTGTGTTTGGGTAAAATGTTTTGTAAATATCTGTTAGGTCCATTTGAGCCATAACATCTGTTAGAACCATTATTTCTCAGTTTAGTTTCTGTCTGGATGACCTGTCTGTTGGTGAGAGTGGGATGTTAAAATTTCCCACTGTTATTGTGTGGGGTTTGATGTGTGATTTAAGCTTTAGTAATGTTTCTTTTACAAATGTGGGTGCCCTTACATTTGGGGCATAGATGTTCAGAATTGAGACATCATCTTGGTGGATTTTTTTATTTGATGAATGTGAAATGACATTTTCCATCTCTTTTGATAGTTTTGGTTGAAAGTCTATTTTGTTATATATTAGGATAGCTACACTATTGGTGAAATTATTAAGGCCACTCCACATGTTAAAAGGAGATTTATTTAATGGTATAACTTACAAATTAAGGGATAGGTAGCTTATGAGTTCTGGGGAAGGTATATCGCAGTCCCGCGGTATTCTCTGGAGCTCTGCTCAACCTCCACCATTCAGGGTCCCGGAACAGAGAGAGCGCTGGCCTATCCAGATCTCGGGTCTCCAAGGTCCTCCCTTCGCCCCGCCTTGTAGGCGTGACAGTTGCCAAAGCCTCAATGGGTGTTGGAACTTCCAGATCAAAGCTGGAATGGCTACCCACTACACTATACCAGCTTGCTTTTTGGTCCATTTGATTGGAAAATCTTTTTCTAACCTTTTATGCTGAGGTAATGTCTACCTTTGATGTTGAAGTGTATTTCTTATATGCAGCAGAATGATGGATTCTGCTTCCATATCCATTTGGTTAGCCTGTGTCATTTTATTGGTGAATTGGGTCCACAGACATTGAGGGATATTTATAACCAATGATTGTTAATTTCTGCTATTTGTTGTTGTTGTGTGTGTTTGTGCGTGCAAATGTGTATGTTTGTGTTTCCTTTCATTGGGTTTTGCTGGTGGGAGATTATTTATTGCTTGTGTTTTTATGGGTATAGTTCACTTCCTGGGGTTGGAGTTTTCCTTCTAGTACCTTCTGTAGGGCTGGGTTTGTTTAAATTTGACTTTGTCATGAAATATCTTTTTTCTCATCTATGATGACTGACAGTTTTGTTGGATATAGTAGTCTGGGCTGGTACCCCTGGTCTCTTAGAGTCTGTAGGATATCAGTCCAGGCTCTTCTGGACTTTAGGGTCTCTATTGAGAACTTGCACGTGATTCTAATAGGTCTGCCTTTATATAAAAATATGGACTTCTTCCCTAATTTGTGTGTCATCCTTGTGTGGGGCCATGCTAATTTCTCTGCATTGTTCTAATTTTAGTGTATGTGCTGTCAAAATGAGCTCTCCATTATGCTTGAAATTAGATTAATATCAGTTAAAGGTCAAAGTAGGAGCACGACTAAATACATTATGCTTATAGTATTGTATTCATCCTTTTAAGACTTTTGAAAATTGGAAATAGTTATCAACCTTGTCAGGTAGTGTGAAAATGCTTCTTTGTTTCACAGAGAAGTTGTCTGTGCATAGAGACAGGGTAGATTCTTTGATTGGTAAAGTGCTTGCCACCCAAGCACAAGGACCTGAATTCTTATCCCCAGAGCCCACGTTAAAAAACAAAACAAAACTTGGTATAGACTGTGCCTATAATTTCATCATTGGGAAGGCAAGGCCAGGAAAATTCCTGGATCTCATTGGCCAGCAAGCCTAGACAGTTAGTGAGTTCTAGGTTCAGTGAAAGACCCTGACATAAAACCATAAGAGCAATTAATTCATAAAGACACTCAGTGTCAGCCTCCATCATGTGTGTCCATATACATGCATGCACCTTTAAACACACACACATACACACACACACACATGCACACATATACATACATACATACAAATTAATTACATGTGAAAATCTTGAATAGCTGATATTTCTTTAGTTATAAATTTAATTCTTTTTATTGAGACAGAGTTTCTGTGTATAACAGCTCTGGTTGTCCTGGAACTTGCTTTGTAGACCAGGCTGGTCTCAAACTCACAGAGAGCTGGGATTAAAGGCATGCGCCACCACCGCCCAGCTTAAATTTGATTTTTTTCCCCCACAAAATGCTTATCACATTTTGAATAAAAAGAATCCAAAAGAATAAAAACAGAAGTTTTGATTTCCATCTCAGATTGCAGAACTTGAGCTATACCAGGAAGTATCATGTTCAGCCATAACCATGACCAGGGTGAAATTGCCCATTCCATATAAATTGCACAAGACAAGAAGGGCTCATAGCATCTCAACATATAAGCAAGATTTTTTTTTTGTTTCTCTCTCATTTTCCTTTTTAATCTTTTCAGCATGGATAGTTCTTCTGACGTTGGAGTAAGAATCAGCCCCTGAATGTCTTTTCTATATATTCTTTGGAAAAATTCTTACCGTCATTTCAAAGTGAAAAGACAGTATTGATTTAAGCAAGAAGAGCTGACCAAAACTAGTTGGTCAGAAGTGAGGTGAACGCACCATTCTTTGCACTCGCTCTTTACTTTCTCTGACCCTCATCTGGAGCCGCTGAGGGTTTCCACTTGTGACATGAGAGGGACTCATGATTCTCCTTTGCTTCGCCCTTCATCCCAGCTCAGCTCAGGTACATCGCAGTGTCTGTGTCAGATCGGAGGGGAGGCCAGGTACAGACAAGAAGTGAGGCCGAGAGGGAAGTTTACACTTGACTGCTATGGCTGGGCTCTCTGAGCTCATGTTCTTGCGGCCATGGTGGGTCCCCTGTGGGGCAGTGCCTACATAGCCCACAGTGGTGTGCTGTCCCTATAAAACAGCAACCCTCTGCTGTGGTGTTTCATAGTGCATGCCAGCTGGATTCCATCTGTTTCGTATGTTCCCAGCATGCCTCTTGAGCACGTGGCTCCATGCTTCACAGAAGTTGCCCCACCCTATTCAGCTGAAGCACTTAGGGCTTTGGTTAGCTCCCATCCTAGGCCCACTTCTCTTTGTGTATGTTGTGTGCTGTGTTTGGATTTATTGGCAACAGGCATCATATCCCAGCCCATGACATCCCCAAGATCCAGGAGGCATCAATAACTCAGACTTTCCTGGAGGTCGAATTGAAAATCCTGCTTCTTACTAAGGGTGTGACTGTCTTCCTTTGCCTGAGACTTTCCTGGTTCTAGCATCTCAGAGAACCTCTCTGTTCTGGGGCAGCTAGGACAATGCTTGCCTCCTTCTTGACTTGAAGCAAACGGAGAAGGATTTCACAGTTCCTGTGTACAGCACTGTTGCCCACACCCCAGATTTTTCCTACAGACTGTTTTCTGGGATCTACCATATCTTGGTGACTTGGTTGTCTTGCACCTTACTGCTAGTCAGACCTGAGGGCATTCATGAGAAGTGAGGCCTCATTTGAGTGCTAGAATATCTGGTTTTCATTTTTTTTTTCTGGTCCTTCCCCAAAGTCCTATTCAGAAGCTCAGCGCCATGAGGAGGAAGCACCTCAAGGGAGGAGAAGATGTATTCTCAGGGCTCAGAACTCAATATCGGTTCCACTGCCTTCCTCCAAATTCTTCCCTGAGCCCCAACCTCTCATCTTAGTGGGAGTAAATGGAACCTTCAATTCACTCAAGGATACAAAATTTACTTGAACACAGCAATGCTACAACACAGAGCGTGTTCTGATGTACCTAACCAATCCACTCTGGAAACAACATGTGTAGACAACCAGCATGAGCTTTCAGATCCTTCCGATAATCTTGATGAGCTAATAAGTTTATGAAATTATGTAAGTGATTTACACGCAAACTCCTTTAGTCCTCACAAAAATTCTGCAAAAATTTTTACAAAAAAATGTTAAATTGGAATAGCCTTTTCCCTTTAAAAAATGATGGGAGGGGCTGGTGAGGATAAAGAACACTGGCTGCTGTTGTAGAGGATGCAGGTTGAGCCCTTAGCCTCTGCATGGTGCATGCAACCATCTACAGCTCCAGTTCCAGGGGATCTGACACCCTCTTCTGGCCTCTTTGGGGACCAGTCTCATATGTAACACCCATACACATAAAATGATAAATGGGAGCACAGGAAGAACTGGTAACTTGTTCAAGGTCATGTGTTTGGGAAACAGATGGAGGTTAAAGCTCAGGGTCTCACTCTAGAGCAAGCATAAGAGTTGCCATCTTACCTCTGCACAGGCCTCATGTTAGCAATATACAGACCTAACCAGTGGCCTGGATTATGACGGTGTCATGGAAGCACTGAGAAATGAGAGTCCTGAGTCTTGTAGTCTTGAGCTGTAGTTTGACCTTTCCTCTGCCATTCATTGTCGGGACAGCCTGGGATAGCTCACAGGTGCCTCAGGGTTGTAAGCTTTAGTAGTGTAGATGTCGTGTGCAGGAGAAATCCTGAGACACAGTGCATGCCAGCCAGTGAGTTTTATCCCTCATTCTACTTCCAGTCTCTCTCACAGGTTCTGTGATCTGGAACCTAGCAGATCCTTTTAGATCTCTTTCAAGATGAGACTAGAGATCATCCAAATGATGGCTCTATCTGGAGCACACGGACAGGTCAGCCATAGTTGTTTCTAGAAGGAATCTTCGTGCTAGGAGTCAACTCTGTGCACCACAAACAGCATTTGTGAAACTGAAATTGTTTTGCATTGGTAGGACCATTTGGCTCTTCAGGAGGGGTAAGTCCTGTTTCTGGGAAGCTGAAAAAGCCCAAGGTGTTCGTGACGGAAGGAAAAGACGTTGCTCTTACAGGAGTATGTGTGTTCTTCATCAAGTCTGACCCATCCAAAGCCATTACAGCTGAGAATATCCACCGGGTAAGGGGATAGCCATTTACTTTAAATTTCTCCAAACCTCATACATTGCTCAAATCTACCCCTTCTGTGGAAGTAACCACAGGCTTACTCAAGTGTCTAAGGCTACTTTCAGGAGTTGGGGCTTGCTTAGCATATGCAAGGATCTCAGTTTAATCTCTAGGATGCACATACAAACAAACAAACAAACGAATAAATAAACAGGCAGCAAAGAAATCCTCTTATTTTCATTTTTTTGCATTTAAGAAAGGCAATTAAAAAGGTATTGACTTCTTATCTTTTGATAATGAGGAATTCATAGTCAATTTATTAATAAATATTCACACAACATTGTCTCTCTCTCTATATATACATATATATAAAATTCCATATATATATGTATATACATACATATATATGTATATACATACATACACACATATATATATATATGGAATTCTTTTCTTTCCAAAAGAACTTCCCACCCATAATTTACTTATTAGTAAGATTTCTAAAAGTGAATATACAACTTTATGTTTTATGTAAAGCAAAGTGCACCTATACAGATGTTCCCTGTGTGTTAGAGGTTGTGCGAGGTTGTGCGACCTCCTTACTTTTTTGTAGCAAATAAACTGGTGGATATCTAGAATTAATTTATTTCATTTTTTTATTTAGGGGCTTATAATTTGGACTGGTATAAAAATATCCTTCTCAAACAGAGTATCAAATAAAAGAGATTCACTCGCTATTTGGTTGATTAACATGTGCAGTGTCTTCCTTGCTATGCTGCAGTCGAGGCTAATTTCCACCACACAGGATGATGAAATTGTCTTCCAGGAGGTGAGCTTCAACACGTTAGACACTGCAGATGGAGGCCTGCTGAACAGCGTGAGGCGTCTGCTCGCAGACATCTTCATTCCAGCCCTCAGAGCCTCCAGCCATGGCTGGAGTGAGCTCCAGGGACTTCAGGATGCGTCCAGCATTCGGCAGGAGTTCCTGAGCTCCCTGGAAGGTTTCGTGGGCATCTTGTCAGGTGCACAGGAGAGTCTAAGGGAGAAGGTAAGGAGTGAGTGGTTCATTAAAAACTGATCAGATTCCCGACAAGTCAAAATATGAGGGGGGATAATGTTTCTTACGTGCACTTGATTTTACTGTGTTGAAAAGTCTTCAAAATGCTTGTAGGTAATTTCAGTGTCTTCTTAGGATGTAACTGTGGCTTGATTTAAATACGTACAGTGTGCAGGGCTTAATGCTTTTGAGTTATGTAAGAATGTTTATAGTAAGGTTTTACTCAGTCTGACAGATGGAACATAGAATACTTGTGTCACTGATGTACATCCTAGAATGAAAAGGAGTTTGGAGCTATAGGAGTGTGTGTGTGTGTGTGTGTGTGTGTGTGTGTGTGTGTGTGTGTGTGTGTTAAGTAGAAAGGGGCAGGATGATGGAGTGGGAGGAAAATCCAGATGTGGTGGAAGAAGGAAAAAGAAATTAATATACGTGGAGGGAGGGGGCTGGGTACTGAAGTTTAGCCTATAAATAAAATGGCTTTTTAATAACTAATAAGCT